AAATATAGTTTTATATTTTAAGAACCTTGTATTCACCTACATTGATCCCTTTGGGCCCTTTTCTTTCTTCATGTTGATGTAGCTTACCCCTGAAAGCCATTTTTTCCACCCAAAAAACACACTTTACCATTTCCTATAATGTATTTCCTGCTGTTACCACTTTATTTACTACTTCCCATATCTGAGAAGTCTATACTTTAATTTTTAAAGACATTTGTGCTATGCATAAATTTCTCAGTTAACTAAAATTCATTCTGAAAGTAGAAGCTGATTACTACATTCAAACTGGATTTTTTAAAGCATTTTCCTGTGTTCCTACATGCATTCAGTCTTTAACATATGAAATAACATTTATAATAATTATCCTAATGTTCTTCCTACTAAAAAATCATCTGGGCTATTTCTGGGTTTATTTATAGGGATTGATTACATCTTCATTATGCTTCACAGTTCCAGTTTCTTGGTATGCCTAGTAATTTTTAATTGGATGCTAGATGTTGTGGACTTTATCTGTTGATCACTGGACATCATAGTCTTGAATATTTCTCTGTGACTCATTTGAGCTATTTGATCCTCTCATGCTTTTTATAAAGCTTTGTAAGGTGGGGCCAGAGCAGCCTCCTGCATAACACAACTTTGCCTCAGAACTGGGGCAAAATCTCCCTGAACATCAGGAGACCTTCCACTCTGTCAGGTGGAGACCTGCACTGTCTCGGTCCCATATGAACTCCTGGAATTGTTCCTCTGCTCCTTTGGGCTGGTGCCTCTTGGCTTCCGGTAAGTCACTTACTGACACATTCTGATCAGTGTTCAGCTGAAGATCCACAGGGACCTTGTGTGGGCCTCCCCCTCTCCGTCTGCATGTAGCTTCCTCCTCTCTGGTTCTCTGTGGACTCTAGCGCCCGTGGCTGACTCACATTCCCAGATTCACCACAACTCCTGGAGGCTGCAGGTTTCCCCCGGGGTTTCCCCTCCCTGTGTTCTGGAATCGCTCTCCAAGCTGGGAATCACAAGACCATTACCATTTCTTTCCCATCTGCAGGAGATTGCTGTTCTGCCCTGCCCAATGTGCAGTGTCTGAAAGTTATTGTTTCACACATTTCCTTGGGGTTTAGGTTGCCTCATGCGAAGAAGGTAAATTGAGAATAACAAATTTTTGTTATTCTATTTGGGGGAGAAATAAGGTGTGGCTGGTTTTTTGAGTGATAAGTGAAATGTGTTCGTGCTCATAGGAGGAGAAAGGCTAAGTGTGAAACACAAATTGAAAGCTGAAGAGAAAGAAGAGAAACTTAGTAGGTGGATATCCTAAAGGGGAAATAACAGAAAGCTGGGATGGGACCCAACTTTATGTATGGAAAGAAACATCAAATTGTAATGAAATAGGAAGAAAGTAATGGTGGTAAGTCAGAGAAATGTTCCTTTGGTAAGCTGATATTCCTTGTGCTGCTATTACATAATGTGAATAAAGTTCAGCTACCTCCTCCCTCCTTTGGGGAGGACACAGGATGGTAATGGGGGACAGTGAAGTGTAATTTCTTTGCCCCCACTCCCTTTTCAAATTCTCTAATTCCTGTGATTTTCATATTCTTGATGTAAGTGAGGGGTTTACAGCTTGTCCAATCAGCTCCCTTGAAAACTTCGAGTGGTCTGATTCCCAGGTCACACTGGCATCTGATAGCCATCATTTCTTGATTCCTCTACTGAACCTTACAATTTAATATCCTGTTATACGATCAGGGCTTAGAGATATGAGGCAAGCAAAAACACACTTTCCAGTCAGTAAGATCATGGTTCTGTGTTGGGGTGAGCATAGCAGGTTACAGAAACACACAGCCCGAGGGGCTCTGTATAATCTCAAATGGGCCCTGAAAGGCTGCCAGAAAGAACTGTCCCTAGCACCCAAAGAAATTCTCCAGGAAGTAAGTTTGGCTCAAAGAAAGGGTATGCATTCCACCGGACCAGTGATGGTGAGCCTTCTGTAGACCTACTGTCCAAACTGCAACCCAAAATTCACTTCTTTGTCAAAAAGTGTGCACTGTATTCTGATGCTCAGCTGCCGAGCAATGCTGGAGCGACGTGCATGCCCGCTGAGCCAAGAGTGCCATAGGTTCACCACCACTGCACTAGAGAGAGAACGTACAGACCGGAAGCAGGAATTACTGGAACCATGAGTCATCAGAAGCCACACTCCAGACCATGGTGTTTGGAACCAACACTGAGGAAAGGAGGTGATCCAGGGTATCCCTCCAGGAAGTGAGCGGGACACGTTTTGTGACTCATTCTGCTGGCAGGGTGAAGTACACGAGGGAGGAACACAGATGGCCAGAGTACTCCCTGTCAGAAGGGGCCTTGAGATGCAGGATGAGAATGGTAGGGCTGAGGGAAGGGTCACAGCCACAGAACGCAGAGGCAGAGCTGCCAGCATCTGCAAATGACGAAAGCTGTAGCATGAGGAGGAGGCACCGAGGCAGGACACACCCAGGTGCTTGTCTTGGTAACTGGATTAACGGCAGTGCTTTCAATGAAACAGGTACTACTGGTTAGATGTGCTAAAATGTCTTGCAAAACGAAAGAAGGGAAGACTGGCACAGTCGAGATTTATTTTCTTCAACATCTTGTCCACTTGCACCAAGCTCAGTGATAGGGACAGTGAAAGAATCAGTGGAGTAATAAACAAAACAAGTGGTGGGAAGATGGAAGAAAATCACAACTGAGAATCCTGAAAGCCCGACCAAGGCTCCTAACATGGCTAGTAGCAGAGCCTTGATTCTGATGTTCTTAAAGCAGTCCTGGAAAGTGTGGCAGTAGACTCACAGAGGGCAGATGTAGATGGTGGATAGAACCCAAGCTGAGAAATATGGAGCAGCAGAAGCACGTTGATGGTAAAGAATAAGGCCTAAAACAAGACTGGGGGCCAATACAAGCCTCACTACAATGCCTTCCTGTAAGCACCAGCAGGCTAGGGAAGCCAGAAAAATTGGGATGGGCCAGTGAGAGAATAGGGAAGAGGTGAACAGCTGGAGTCCAAAGACCTGGTGAAAGAGAAATAAAGGATAGGCGATCATCGTCAGAGAGAACGGCAGGAACAAAATTCCCAGTAACAAAGTGGGCCCAGATGTGATTTCATGTCATGGAAGGCAGTGAGCAGTTGTGAAGCGAGATTGTTGAAGACACATTAAATAGGAAATTGTCGTCCCCGTAAAAGGGGCATAAAGGAACTCTGAGCTGGAGCTCAGTGAACCACAGAAGTGGATGCGTGAAGAACAGAAATGGGACCCTGTTCAGGGCAGAGCGGTGGTGTTGGGTAGCATGAGTGCTTTGCTTCCTTTGATTCCAGAGTTACTAGCTTCACTAGAAAGAAGCTAGAGTTATCCAGAGAAAACAAGTGTTTTAAGGATCTTGAGAGGGAGAAAGCATCCTAGAAAAAGGTTCACTTTCAAGCAGGTATGCTCAATAGAAGAGGATTTGATAACAATCTTCTTCATTGTACTGGTCTTTGTGGAAGCAGGCAGGAGAGACAAAGCAAACCTGGCCAGGGGAGTGTGTGCAACAAGGAAGGTGTTGGAAGGGACATTGTGAAAACTTTCCCCTGGGTCGCCATCTTTAACACAAGCTCACTGAAGCTCTTCTGGGTGACTAGCACATCTGGAAACCCCAAGCCGTTTAGGTTCATTCCCTGGAATACTCTGGACACATCGTGGCCCCTGAGCATTGCCATAGAGTGCTCTTTGAGCATTCTCTAAGTGCTTACGGAGAACGCTTTAGCAGAAAATGAAACAGATCATTGTCTGCCAATTGGGGTTTGAATCCAGAAAGAGTTCATTGATCAAGTAAATGTAGAGAACATGAAATTTCATATTAATGAAATGCCAGAAAGTGATGATTAAGCGAAGATGATAGGAAGCATACACGACAGGTTTCACCCACACCCTGTTATGTGGTTCTTACCCTGATGTCACCACCACACCTGAGTTTTGCTTATTAAAGTAATATAGGCGCAGGCAACTAAAACTGCTGACCAGTGCATAGAGATACACAGCTTCTCAAAGGCTAAACTTGACAGGCAAGATCAGGATTCGATGTGGAGGGTGTCTGACGACGTTAGCTAACTTGATTGACATGTTGCCTGTGTGTAGTTTTTCGTCCGCTGATCTTTGATAAAATTAATCTTTTTGGGGGGGGTACCAGGATCAAACTTGGGACTTGTGCCTACGAGGCAGGTGCCAGAACCACTGAGCTAAATCCCCGGCCGATAAAATTAATCTCATCTCCTTCACTTCACTGACAAAAAGGTTGCATTCAAACCAAAGGTACAATGGGGACAAATGATAAATTAAGGAACAGGATTCAAACCACACTTAAATCCTTTTACAAAGAGATCTTAGGTGTTTAAGGGCAAGAAGTGTGTGACAGGTGACATAAAGAATTCGAGTTGTATGTGGAAGATGGAACCGCCCGCGCTACATCTTGTGTCCGCAGAGCAATAGGCTGTGTGCAACGTTGGAAAAGTAGCTGTCCTCGGCTGAGAGCGCGAGCTCGCGATGCGCCCTTCACGGCGTGCGGTCTAACCCGCGCACGGCGCCAGGTACCCGCCTGGGCCCGTCCACGGAAGAACCGCCAGTGGGCGCCAGCTCCCAGCCCCAGGTTACCCGCCCTCCCGGTCCCCTGACTGCGACGCCGCGCGGCCCACGGCGTTTTGCAGGTGTTTATTCTTCCACTCCTCCACCTACTCGCGCACTTGTTTGACACTTTCCATCATAAAAGAACAAACGGCGCGGCCCTGCTTCCCGGAGCATAGCCTAGCGGGAGGACGACCTCGGAGACCCGGCGGCCGGGGACGTGGGGGGTGAGGGGCAGGGATGCGGGGCGGCGGGGCGCGCGCCGGCCTGAGGGACCCTGGGCGGGGCTGCACCTGGCCGGCGCGCACCTGGGCCACGTGACGGGGCGGGGCCTCGGGCCACCCCCACGGTGGCGGCCCCTCCCCCGGCACGCCCGGACGGGGCCGAGGCGGCTGCGGGACCCGGAGCCCGGAGCCCGCAGGAGGCGACGGCGCGCAGACGCAGCAGCGGCAGCATGTCGGCCGGTGGGGCGTCCGTGCCGCCGCCGAACCCCGCCGTGTCCTTCCCGTCGCCCCGGGTCACCCTGCCCGCCGGCCCCGACATCTTGCGGACCTATTCGGGCGCCTTCGTCTGCCTGGAGATCGTAAGTGCGCCGCGGGCCGGGCGCAGGGCGGTGGGCGCAGCCTGGTCCCGGTGGGCGGGCGCCCTCCGCGCCTCCGCGCCTGCACCTGCTCGGCACCCGCCGCCGGCCGCGCTCACCCTTGCTGCCATCTTGGGTGGCGACAGCGCCGGGCGGCAGCGGCGGAGGAGAGGGCGGGGGGAGCCGCAGGCCGCGCCCCTGGCCTGCCGCCCCCCGAGGCCGCTGCGCTTTGGATCGGGCGGGCGGTGCGGGTTCGAGGCGGGGAGTGGGGTGCCTCGGCTTCCCGGCTGCGCCGCGCGGGGAGGCTGGGCAGGGTCGCCGCCCTCCGCGCAGCCTGCGGGGCAGGGGCGCCTGAACTCGTTCAAAGGAGTTTTTGGACTTAGAAGCTCTGGAAGCTGCTTGTGGACAAGGGAGAAAGGCAATAGAAATTGAGCAAGGGAGGTTGCATCACGCCCTGGGGAGGGCAAACACGGAGCGGGCGGGCGGCTCTGTTTGCTGGCTTGGGGTTTTCACCCCCAGGACACACCTCTGCTTCGAGTTTGCATAACCTGGACTTGGGTCACTCGAGTTTCGCTTCTGTTCCTTTGAGGCCGGAGCACCTTGTGGGCATGGCCTTTCTCCTCCTGGCAGGCCCAGGCCAAGCTCCCTCGCCGAAGCTTTGCTCAGATTCGAATCGAAAAGGACACGGGTTTCAGGCTTCGGGGTCTGTGATCAGACCCGACTGTGAGCGCAGAAGAGGGAGGTTTGAGCTGGAGCCCAGATCAGAAGCCTGCGGCCTCGGAGTCGGCCCAGGCGCCCAAGGGAGAAGAGCTCCAGAGGGAGGCAGGCACCTTAGGGCAGGAACATCTGCAGAGAAAGTTTTCGTCTTCACATGCCTGCCGGGTGTCTGCCTGCCTCTGAGAAGTGTTCCTTGTGTCCCTGTCTGCATTCTACCCCCTCTGGGATTTGCAGATTGCTCAGGTGGACTTTCTAAACTTCAGTCACAGGCTAGCCTCCTCCTAAGCGATAATCCACATGAAAGCCCCAGTTTGATAGAATGGTCATGTCTCTAACATCTACTCAGATATGTTTATGTGTGTATGCACGTAGAGATACATTTGTGTGCATATGTAAATTTTTGTATCTGCAAAGAAAGCTTCTCCAGGCTACCGAATCAAAGGCTGTCTCCCGAACCACCGACCTCAAGTCACATCCTGGGAAACACTGCCTCATTCTGAGTGGGGGAAGTGGAGGTGAATTACTCCATTTTCCTCTCCCCTACTCCCCTATCTCCTTTTCCCTTCCTGTAGCCCAGTGGCTGGTTCTCAACCCTTCTACACTCAAAAACTTGGCAGCTTTTTAAAATACTGTTGCCACCCTAGATTAATTAAATCAAAATCTCTGGGAGCGTACTCAGACTCAGCTAACTTCGTGTTGGTTTTTTAAAGTTACCCTGGCGATTTAAGATAGAGTCATGGCTGGGAGCCCTTCCCCCAGACTCTGTAGGGAAGGCAAGGCTTCTCTTGGAAATGAGAATTCTGGATTTGCTAGAACTTACTTCCGAAGGAAAGCCACACTCAGCGCAGTATCCAGTCCTATCTGGTCATCTTTTCATTCCCTCTGGCTGCTTCCCCCTGACACAAGTCTCTGACTCTTAGTGACATAGCACAGGGTCACCTTCAAGTGCCATTCAGCTTGCTTCCTCTTCTTGTGGCTAGACACCTTTGTAAGTTCAGATCCTAGGCCTCTATTCCTCTGTCACCTGCCTACCAAGCTCCCACCATTCCTCCAGAAAAAGGATCAAAACGTTCCAATGAAACCATTGACCTTGAGAGACAAGAGGCCACGTGGGACACAGACTCAGCTCCTTGCTCGCTCCTCTGGAATGGTCAGAGACCTTGGATTCTGTGCTTGAGAAAGCGGAGAGCAAGGCTGCCTGCTTCTCCATCTCCAGGGTCTGCCTGAGGGTGCCCAGGCGGCAGCCAAGCGACCCCTTCCAAGCCTTCGCTCCCAGCTCTCTCACTTCTGCCTCGTTTTCTAATTCCTGAGTCACAGCCTCCCAAGGCTCCTCTTCAGAAGTTCTCCTCCTCATAAATTAAATGTGAGAATTGCGGGGTGTGGTCCCACAGACCTTCAGCCTGGGACTGAAGACTTCAGCTCCTGCCTGTGTTTTTGGACATCTACACTCCTCCTTAAATTTGACCTTCCACTCAGATCTGTCTGTTTCCAAGGTTCCATCCTCCATGGCCTTCACTTATGCCCTTGAGATTTAACATGAGGAGGCTGTTCCCTCGAGGATGGACTGGACTCTCAACAGGGGACCAGGATCTTGGAGCTCCGTCCCCAAACGAACCCCAGGCCCTCTTTACTGTACTTCATTCAGTCTCTCGGGTCCAAGCCATTTGTTGAACAGATATAAAAGACATACATTCTGCCTGCCTACCTGGGCCAGGTAAAGCAGTATGTAGCACTCTGAACAGGTGGGGACTACCTCATCTTCACTTGCATGGCTCTTTTGGGGGGATTTGTTTCACCTCTAGATACCAAAATTGTTAGCCCTTTGGCCTTAGCTATAGTCATCAGTGCATGCTAAGAGTTTAACACTAGGTTAGTATTGCAAAGCCAAGACCAAGAGATTTAGTTTAGGATGGAAAACATCATTTCAAAAATTATGATTTTCAGAATTTAGTGTTCATTGAATGCCCCGGTGCACAAGAAGCGCTTCTGGGGATGAGGATGCTTGGTCCTTCCTCACCTGGGAGCCCTGATAACCATCGACAGGGCTGGCACAGAAAGAGTGACCATTCGGGGAGGAGTTACAGGTGGGACCTCAACTAAAGCTGGAGTATTTTCCAGACTGCTCTATAAGAAAATGACATTGACCTTCTGCGCTATTACCAAGGAGGATATTCAGACTTCCTATTCTCAATGAGATAATCTTCTAAAATGCATTAAAAACTTAAGCAGCACAGAATTCATCACCAAAAAATATATAAAATTCATTATTCGGTGTAGTTTGCATTTTCAGTGTTTAGGAAACTGTCTCCATTACTCAGGTCTCTCTCTGTAAGAGACATCGCTGGGCTCTTTTTCACTTGCTTCTAAGTGCAGCATTTGCGTGGTTTTCATTTATTTAGCATAATAACTTAATTAACAGGCATCCAGGCCTTCTTTTATGCATGAGTAACATTATTCTTGCCTTTAGAAGGGCTTGCCACAGGGTGAATTATAAAGACAAGAAAGAATTATGGTGTTGTATATGAAGCGGTAAAATAGGTTCCTGAAAGTCTTGTGGGAAAGCAAGGAAGAGAGCATCTGGCTCCCGGGGAGGCTGGGACGGGCAGCGTTAACGAGGTGGGAACATGCGAGTTTGGCCGTCAGGAGCAGGCGCTCAGTAGACAGAAATAGCGGGATAGAAGATTCCTGGTGGAAACCTCAGAGACAAGAGCAGTTGTGAGTTCTTGACCGACCGACCGATTCCAAGGTGGCAGAAGGGAAAATGGCAGACAGGACCAAGTCCTGCTTCACGGAGAAATGCCAGGTGAGGGGTTTGAGTTTACTCTGTCTGTGAAGGGGAGCTTCTGAAGGATGGGATGAACTCGATCAGGTTTGTAGCTTAGATGTCTTCAGTAAAATTTGGTGGTAAAACAGGGACATTGAAGCCAGGTGTGGTGGTTCAAGCCTGTAATCCCAACCCTCTGAGAAGCTGACCAAGAGGGTCACAAGTTCAAGCCCAGCCTGGACAAATTACTGAGACCCAGTCTCAAAAAAGCAAAAAGGACTGGGGTGTGGCTCAGTGCAAAGATCTTGGGTTCAATCCCCAATGCTGGAAGGAAAAAAAAAAAGATGTAAGGCAGGGAGAACCTGAAATAGGACCAAAGAAAGGAGAGAGAAAGTGAGAGGTCTAGGGATTAGGAGGTCATCTAAGGATACAGATCTTGACGGGCTCCCAAATCATACTAGATTAGATTTAAATGTAAGATACAACTGAGAGGAATTATGGCAGAAAATGAATGTTAAAGAAGGACAGAGGGGGTTGGGAGGAGCTGTATAGGACACGGGTGCTCTCATGCAGGCAAGTCTATGGAAGGGGTTTCAGGTTATTTTCAACCAAAACCTTTGACTAAACAAACATAAATGTTCTGGTGTCCAAAGTTTTCTCGACCAGAAAATAGATTTTGATCACAAAGGGACATTGTTTATTTGCAGTGGTTAACAGACTAGGGGCAGGTTTGTCTCTCTAAATGGAGTTTAGTCCTATAAGTATGTGTGTTAAAAATCTCTAGCCACTTGTAAAGAGCATTTTAATTTTCATAAGAGAAAATAAACCAAGGCTCCTGCCAAAGCCTACTGTCAGCAGTCATTTGTCTCTGTGAAAAAATACAAAGAACTGAAATTTGTAAAACTTCAAACCAAGTTGCTGAAAAGAGTGACTTTGAGCTACAACGGAAAACATCAAGGAGAGATTTGCTTTGTTTGGCGCAAGAGAAAGCTACCTGGAGTAAGAGCTGTGGACAGGGCCTGGCTCTGCTGGCTGATGGAATAGAGAAGACCCAGTAATGAGGAAGGACAGGAACCAGCTGACCCAGGACCCCACATGTGCCATACTTTATAAATACTGCAGTTGTTTGGAAGTGCAAACCTGCCTTACATGACATTGCTCTGGGAGAACTGCCGCCGTGGAGAAGGAAGCCTTGGTGTGCATATGGTCTTTAAATCTTGTCCTACTCAAAATGCTATCGTTCTCTCCAGGTAGCCACAGACTGACCTGAATTTCCCGAGCATCCTGTTTTATGTGAGGAACAAATCTCCTCATAATCCCCTTATGTGGCTCTGACTTTTGTTGAATAACTTTCAGGAGGAAGGAGGCAGAAAGAAAAGAGGCAGTATTTGTAGGGCTCTTGCCAACCTTGGGGCATTGGTATGCAGGAATGCTTTTAACCTACTTGACACCTGGTTACCTACAAACATGAAAAGAGGATTTTGAAAATCAAAGGAAATTATACACAAGATCGTCCAGGGCC